AATCCACGTTTAGTCTAGTCACAGTCATGTCGGCCCTAATAGAGTCATGTCCAGTTTAGTCAAAGTCATGTCTAGTCTAGTAAATCCACGTTTAGTCTAGTCACAGTCATGTCGGCCCTAATAGAGTTATGTCCAGTTTAGTCAAAGTCATGTCTAGTCTAGTAAATCCACGTTTAGTCTAGTCACAGTCATGTCGGCCCTAATAGAGTCATGCCCAGTTCAGTCAAAGTCATGTCTAGTCTAGTAAATCCACGTTTAGTCTAGTCACAGTCATGTCGGCCCTAATAGAGTCATGTCCAGTTTAGTCAAAGTCATGTCTAGTCTAGTAAATCCACGTTTAGTCCAGTCACAGTCATGTTGGCCCTAATAGAGTCATGTCCAGTTTAGTCAAAGTCATGTCTAGTCTAGTAAATCCACGTTTAGTCTAGTCACAGTCATGTTGGCCCTAATAGAGTCATGTCCAGTTTAGTCAAAGTCATGTCTAGTCTAGTAAATCCACGTTTAGTCTAGTCACAGTCATGTCGGCCCTAATAGAGTCATGTCCAGTTTAGTCAAAGTCATGTCTAGTCTAGTAAATCCACGTTTAGTCTAGTCACAGTCATGTTGGCCCTAATAGAGTCATGTCCAGTTTAGTCAAAGTCATGTCTAGTCTAGTAAATCCACGTTTAGTCTAGTCACAGTCATGTTGGCCCTAATAGAGTCATGCCCAGTTCAGTCAAAGTCATGTCTAGTCTAGTAAATCCACGTTTAGTCTAGTCACAGTCATGTCGGCCCTAATAGAGCCATGTCCAGTTTAGTCAAAGTCATGTCTAGTCTAGTAAATCCACGTTTAGTCTAGTCACAGCCATGTCGGCCCTAATAGAGTCATGCCCAGTTCAGTCAAAGTCATGTCTAGTCTAGTAAATCCACGTTTAGTCTAGTCACAGTCATGTCGGCCCTAATAGAGCCATGTCCAGTTTAGTCAAAGTCATGTCTAGTCTAGTAAATCCACGTTTAGTCTAGTCACAGTCATGTCGGCCCTAATAGAGTCATGTCCAGTTTAGTCAAAGTCATGTCTAGTCTAGTAAATCCACGTTTAGTCTAGTCACAGTCATGTCGGCCCTAATAGAGTCATGCCCAGTTCAGTCAAAGTCATGTCTAGTCTAGTAAATCCACGTTTAGTCTAGTCACAGTCATGTCGGCCCTAATAGAGTCATGTCCAGTTTAGTCAAAGTCATGTCTAGTCTAGTAAATCCACGTTTAATCCAGTCACAGTCATGTTGGCCCTAATAGAGTCATGTCCAGTTTAGTCAAAGTCATGTCTAGTCTAGTAAATCCACGTTTAGTCTAGTCACAGTCATGTTGGCCCTAATAGAGTCATGTCCAGTTTAGTCAAAGTCATGTCTAGTCTAGTAAATCCACGTTTAGTCTAGTCACAGTCATGTCGGCCCTAATAGAGTCATGTCCAGTTTAGTCAAAGTCATGTCTAGTCTAGTAAATCCACGTTTAGTCTAGTCACAGTCATGTTGGCCCTAATAGAGTCATGTCCAGTTTAGTCAAAGTCATGTCTAGTCTAGTAAATCCACGTTTAGTCTAGTCACAGTCATGTCGGCCCAAATAGAGTCATGTCCAGTTTAGTCAAAGTCATGTCTAGTCTAGTAAATCCACGTTTAGTCTAGTCACAGTCATGTTGGCCCTAATAGAGTCATGTCCAGTTTAGTCAAAGTCATGTCTAGTCTAGTAAATCCACGTTTAGTCTAGTCACAGTCATGTCGGCCCAAATAGAGTCATGTCCAGTTTAGTCAAAGTCATGTCTAGTCTAGTAAATCCACGTTTAGTCTAGTCACAGTCATGTAGGCCCAAATAGAGTCATGTCCAGTTTAGTCAAAGTCATGTCTAGTCTAGTAAATCCACGTTTAGTCTAGTCACAGTCATGTCGGCCCAAATAGAGTCATGTCCAGTTTAGTCAAAGTCATGTCTAGTCTAGTAAATCCACGTTTAGTCTAGTCACAGTCATGTAGGCCCAAATAGAGTCATGTCCAGTTTAGTCAAAGTCATGTCTAGTCTAGTAAATCCACGTTTAGTCTAGTCACAGTCATGTCGGCCCTAATAGAGTCATGTCAAGTTTAGTCAAAGTCATGTCTAGTCTAGTAAATCCATGTTTAGTCTAGTCACAGTCATGTCGGCCCTAATAGTCATGTCCAGATTAGTCAAAGTCATTTCTAGTCTAGTAAATCCACGTTTAGTCTAGTCACAGTCATGTCGGCCCTAATAGAGTCATGTCCAGTTTAGTCAAAGTCATTTCTAGTCTAGTAAATCCACGTTTAGTCTAGTCACAGTCATGTCGGCCCTAATAGAGTCATGTCAAGTTTAATCAAAGTCATGTCTAGTCTAGTAAATCCACGTTTAGTCTAGTCACAGTCATGTCGGCCCTAATAGAGTCATGTCAAGTTTAATCAAAGTCATGTCTAGTCTAGTAAATCCATGTCCAGTTTAGTCAAAGTCATGTCTAGTCTAGTAAGTTCATGTCAAGTCTAGTCAAAGTCATGTCTACTTTAGTAAAATCGTGTCTAGTCTAGTTAAAGCCATGTTTAATTTAGTAAAGCAATTTCTAGTCTAGTCAAAGTCATGTCTAGTCTAGTAAATCCATGTTTAGTCTAGTCACAGTCATGTCGGCCCTAATAGTCATGTCCAGATTAGTCAAAGTCATTTCTAGTCTAGTAAATCCACGTTTAGTCTAGTCACAGTCATGTCGGCCCTAATAGAGTCATGTCAAGTTTAATCAAAGTCATGTCTAGTCTAGTAAATCCACGTTTAGTCTAGTCACAGTCATGTCGGCCCTAATAGAGTCATGTCAAGTTTAATCAAAGTCATGTCTAGTCTAGTAAATCCATGTCCAGTTTAGTCAAAGTCATGTCTAGTCTAGTAAGTTCATGTCAAGTCTAGTCAAAGTCATGCCTACTTTAGTAAAATCGTGTCTAGTCTAGTTAAAGCCATGTTTAATTTAGTAAAGCAATTTCTAGTCTAGTCAAAGTCATGTCTAGTCTACTAAATTCATGCAATCAAACTGTTGAGGGATGGCTGGAGGAATGCCTCAAGGTGGGTGTTTAGGTACTATTCTTTATGCATAGCTCTTCTGTGGCTAAACTTATGGGATTTATCAGGAAAAAAAGACTTTGCTTCGACCACCAGCAGTCCAGTTCCAGGACATTTAGTAGAATATCCATCATTTTCCTGATTATTTTCTTGGCTTGTTTACTGTCATTCTTGACATCATTCCCTGTCCTGGTTTGACTTTACAGAGCTTAAAAGTCATCTCCTCACTGAGCTGCAGATGAACTCCCTTCTTTCTACTGTCTTTCCAGAGAATCTCTGCTCTGGTGGAGCCATGATCCTGCAGTAGGCTCATCTGTAGGAGATGGTTCTGGTGATGCCGACATCGAGGATTTAGGTTTTTGTTATTTATTCCTATTTTAATGTCAGAGGAGAGCTTAGTAAATAACCCCTTGATTACTTTTCATAGCTAGATGTAAACTGCCATCACAAAACACATGAAGGAAACTTTTTGATAATTATTATTCTGTTCTGACCAAAGCTGTAGCTCATTGTTATAAAACAATTTCTTTCTGTTGAGACTTCAGTTAACAAACACACAAGAAAAGAAGCAATTAACAAACACACAAGAAAAGAAGCAAATGTAAATGCCTTGTTAAAAACTATCTAAAACAAAATAGTCAGACAGAATCTATTATCTGAAACACAAAGTTTTTTGGTCCTTTCTCTGCTTGCTCTTTTAGTTTTATCTTTGTTGACCAATCCCCCCAGACCTCCAACAACACTGTGTCTCACCAGCAGAGTTATTGGCAGGGCTGAGACCTTTCTGACTGATTTGGTCCCCTGTGGTCCTGAACTGATGAAAAGATCACCGAGAGAAGCAGATGTGACAGCTCAGAGTCAGATGGGTTCAGGGCTGTAATCATTAAAAACCTGAAACGTCACCGCCGGAGCTCAGTTCATGAGCAATAGCCTTAAAGATGTAGTGAAAAGTTTTGGGCTGCTAAAATAAGTTAGTGAGGTGAATATTGTCAAATCCTAAAAACAGAGAAAACATGTCTAGAGTGAGCCATTTGTTGTTTTTGCTTTCTGACGAGATCCCGGTTCTGCACCTCCAGCAAAATATGGACACATAACATAAATCGTAATTTCTTTCATAATATTCAAGCAGAATTCACTTAAGATGATTGGTGTAAAGTTTTAGGATCTCACGGTGTGTGTGTGTGTGTGTGTGTGTGTGTGTGTGTGTGTGTGTGTGTGTGTGTGTGTGTGAGTGAGTGAGTGAGTGAGTGAGTGAGAGAGAGAGAGAGAGAGAGAGAGAGAGAGAGAGAGAGAGAGAGAGAGAGAGAGAGAGAGAGAGAGAGAGAGAGAGAGAGAGAGAGAGAAAAAGAGGGACATCTAGTGGTGAATTGCAAGATTGAAAACAACTTGCAGTCGTCCAACACTAAATCTAAAGAAGCACGTCTCAACACAAACAACTATTCCTCGGTCAAATTCTACTCATGCGACTGGATTAATGAAAAATAAACTTGATTCAACCTCAAACTGTTTTAAAAATCCACAAATGAAAATTCTGGAAATGTTTCTGGTGTCATGCTCTAAAAAATTAAACACAGTCAAACATGATATTGCAGCTTTAGAAGTAAAGTCTTATAATGACTTTTATTTATCACTGAGATTATATTGTGAGTGTCTCGATATGCTGATGATGTGACGCTGTAGGTTTAAAATCAGTTGAAAAAATTTTGTTTTTGCTACAAACACTCTACATTAAAGTACTCGATAAGACATGTTCTAAATAAATGTCAGATTTAAAACTGCGATGCTGATAAAGACATTGTTCATTGATCTGCATGGTCATTTCTATTGTTGAACCTACTTTTATGCTATATTACAACACCAACTCTTTACTAGGTGTGTTAAACCCACCCACCCCCTTAGCCCCACTGCCCCTGCCCCATCCTCACCTCTTCTGATCCTGAGCCAAAGATGAGCAGATCAAATGGGATGGCCGCCACCATGTCTATGAGGAACCAGCCTTTAAAGTAGTGGATGGCAATCTTGGCCGGATGGCTGACTACTTCCTCGTTGGAGTTGACGTAAGTGGTCCTGAAGTTTATTAGGATGTCCACAATAAACATAATGTCTACTATCAGGTCCACTACATTAAGTGGAGAGCAGGAGTATCCGCACTCCCGCCTGTGTCGCTCCTCAATGTCGTTGAGGAGGAAGGCAGCAGAGTAGGGTGTGAAGATGGCTGTGTAGATGACCAGCAGCAGGATGAGCCAGTCCCACACCGCTTTAAAGGGGCTGTAATGGAGGATGGTCCATTTGTCCATACGTGGCGTCTGCAGTTTATACTCAGGCAGCACGTCTGCACCCAGAGAGAGGACCTGAAGAAGAGCCAAGAAGATTTATCAACCTATAGTTACAGAGTACAGAGTTGCTGTACATTCTCAATGAGCCTCACCTAAAACTGCTAAAACTAAAGAAAAATAAGTATATACATATGTATATATACTTAGGTGATATCAGTGGGGTAATATTTATACAGCATTTATAACATACAAAATACAAAAATAAGTTGACCAATATTATACGTGTATGTAGAAAGGAGTATTATAGTAAAACTTTGAACAACAATAAATATAATATGAAGGGTATATGGGATGTTTTAAACGGTATCATTAAAAATAATTCTGGGCAACGTAGTTATCCTCAACATTTTATTGACAATGGCAATATTATGGAAAACACTGCTGATATGGTCAACAGCTTTAATCATTATTTTGTCAATATTGGACCAAAACTAGCAGAGCAAATTCCTGAGTCACTGCCAGCAGTAGACTGTAGGAATGCCTGATTGACAGGAACCCAAACTCAATGTTCCTCATAGCAGTGGAGGAAAAAGAAATAATTGACACTGTACACATGTGTAAATATAAAACATCTACTGATTGTTATGATATTGACATGGTAATTATTAAGAAGGTCATTGAAGGAATAGTTGGACCTCTAACTGTCATGTTCTGCGGGTGGAGATGGCAGACCATGTGTGGTGGTGGGTTCCAGGAGGCAGAAGATCAGACAGACGGATGAAAAAATAAAAATATGTTTAATTGTAGACTGGGAGCAACAGGACGAACGAACATGCACAAACGACAATGAACCGACAAAGACAGCAACAAGGAGGGAGGTATAAATACACAAGGGGATCAGGAACACATGGACAGGTGAGAACAATAAGGCTAATCAGGGCAGGAGAGACACAGTCAGGGAGGCCGGGGCGGATCATGACACTAACATATATTTGCAATTTATCATTTCAGACTGGAAAAGTTCCAAATAAAATGAAAATAGCTAAAGTTGTGCCGCTGTATAAAACTGGGCATAGACACCACTTCACAAATTACAGACCGATTTCTTTACTACCACAATTCTCCAAAATCCTAGAAAAACTTTTTAATAAATGATTAGACACATTCCTAGATAAATTTAAATTACTCTCTGATAGTCAATATGGATTTAGATCGAAAAGTTCAACATCTCTGGCATTAATCGAATCAATTGAGGAGATTACAAATGCCATAGATCAGGAAAAAGTATGCAGCTGGACTATTCCTGGATCTCAAGAAAGCATTCAACACAATTAATCATGACATATTAATTAATAAACTTGGATGGTACGGGATAAGGGGGGTTGTACTGCGATGGATAAAAAATTATTTAAGTGACAGGAAACAATTTGTGAAGCTGGGTGTCCATTCCTCATCATGTTTGGACATTGCTCGTGGTGTTCCACAAGGCTCTGTACTGGGTCCAAAATTATTTATTCTTTATATAAATGATATTTGTAGGGTATCTGATATATTAAAACTAATATTATTTGCAGATGATACAAATATTTTTTGTTCTGGGGGGAATCTAAAGGAACTGCTGGATACAGTTACTACAGAGATGTGCAAAATTAAAAGATGGTTAATAAACTATCTCTGAATCTAAGTAAAACTAAAATAATCTTATTTGGGAATTCCCTTAGAAATGCACAAGCACAGATCCATATAGATGGTGTGGAAATTGAAAGAGTACTTGAACATAAGTTTCTTGGTGTGATTTTAGATGATAAACTAAACTGGAAATCTATTATAAATCATATACGTAACAAAATTTCAAGAAGTGTTTCAATCTTAAGTAAAGTAAAAAACATTCTGGACCACAAAGCACTCCACATTCTCTATTGTTGCCTGATTGCACCGTATTTGCATTACTGTGCAGAGGTTTGGGGCAATACCTACAAATGTTCGCTATCATCAATCTTTATATAACAAAAAAGGGCAATACGGATAATCCATAAAACTGGTTATAGAGATCATACGAATCCTCTATTCTTAAAAGCTAAAATTCTAAAATTCACAGACCTAGTTCATTTTCTCACTGCTCAAATTATGTATAAAGCAATAAATAAATTGCTTCCTGACAATATTCTAAAACTGTTTACTATAAGGGAGCGTGGATATAATTTGAGAGGGGAGTTAATTTTACAACATCCTTGTATCCGAACAGCATTAAAAAGTTTTTGCATCTCTGTATGTGGAGTGAAGCTGTGGAACAGACTAGGTAAAGATATGAAGCAATGTCCGAGCATGGTGCAGTTTAAAAAGCGGTTTAAGGATATGGTTTTTGCAGCCGCAAACGAAAACGTAGCGGGAAAACAGGTAACAAAACTGTTCTGTGGTTTAAAAAAGAACTACAGCATGGAATTAGAAACACGACACAGCAAGAACACGCCTAAGATGATCAACATTATCTGCCAACTAAACAGATACCTTGAGGCACTTTAGAGATTAGCATCAATTTAGAGGATAAAGGGGCCTTTAACAAGAGCAGGACGTTTCAATGCCAGAATCAGAACTGAGTCATAAAATGTAAAACTTTTATTATGATATTACTGTGAGACAAGACGCTCCAGAAAGAAGTCCACCGCTTATAGTAACAACAGGAAATAAAAGAAAGGAGACAAAAGGAATAACTGAACAGAGAAAAAGTGGCTGTTTTGTCCCAGAAATGACTCCAGAAGCATCAACGTTTTGCTGCCAATTATGAAAACCCCACACGGGAATACAGGGAAGTAAAGGCTGGTGCTGTGTGTTAACCAGAAGGGCAAAGAGACAGCTACTACTATGTGTGACAGAGCTAGAAAATGAAAGTGACTTTATTTGGCATTCATCATCTTTGGATGTTCCCTTATCTCAACGCCGGTCACCTTAATAATCTGTGTGATTATAGAGGAAGAGAGAACTCCGGAGTGGAGTGATGACGTACGGCACAAAGAAAACTGCCGTGTTAATAACTGAGGTGGTCATTAGGCCCTCCTTCCTCTTCAGCGCCGGCCTGGGTCGGGTGCTATTACTCTGTGATATGGAATAACCTTTGAAATCAGTCAGAAGGCAAAAGGACAGACAAATTGAATATCTTCTATTATTCATCAAACTCCAACTTCATTAAATGTGGGAGTTTTAAACGCTTGTTTCAATTACAGCCGAGGCTCCGTGTTTGCTCCCAAAAATAATTTCTGAAACGGCTTCCTGTGTGAAACGGCCCCAGCTATCAGGACGAGCGTAAACAAACCTGAGATGGACGGCTCTGCAGGAGTACCCTGCAGTATAATAGTGGTGACAGAAATAACTCTCTTACCACTTATGGATACATAGTCCCTCGCCCTGCTAGGAAGCCTGGGAGGAGTCTGACGGTTGGCAGAATGACAGTTCTGGATTAGTACGTTGTAGCCAATCTGTTTCTAAATAAAAGATCCCATCTTACTTATTCATTGTACCTACTTTAGCTATGTGCAAATGAACTCTCTGGTGGTGCGACTGAAAGCTTGTTCTGTATTTCTATTGGCTTCAAACAATATGCAAATCACTGAAAGCTTTCCTCCCTTCTTTGGTTCGTCTTGGCCTCCTCTGACAAGACTAAGACAAAATTCATAGCGTGAGGATGTTGTTCCATGTTTATGTGCTTCGTAAATGATTCACACAACTCCAAATCCAGTTTCAGATCAACCCAAGAAAGCTATAATTAGAGATGAATGGAGACCGATGGGCTCATGCAGGGTGCGAGGCACGTGCTCTGAGACTTTCAGAATGTAAGAAGCAGCATGTGAGTTAGACGCCGCGGCTTCCTTTCGTTGCCGACCAGCTTCCTGGGTGAGCCCTCCATCTGCCTGTGATAAGCTGCGAGGCAGCCAAGGCCAGCAGAGAGCGTGTCTGTTCCAGACCTTGATCTGCCGAGCCCGGGAGTCCAGAGCTGGTTTCAAGACATCTGCCGTCACTTTGTGTTCTTCACAGTCAGGCGTCCAGAGAACTGTTTACAGCCTTAAACTGTAGACAATGGCGAGAAATTGAAATCCTCCTAAGGGTTGTGAATTTTATTTTTATTTTTTTTGCGTCTGGGATTTATTTTAATGTTCATCAGCAAGTGGTGAGTAAAACATTTAAATTAGAGTCTGATAGACCCCATATGTTGAGTCACTGGATTAGGGTACCATACTGGTCACAGGTCTGCATAAGGAAGAGTAATTGATTCCTGTGTCTCATACTTTTGTATTTTCTGTCATCTTCATGCTCTCGGTGTCTCAGCCATGATCCTTGAATGCTGTTTGTTTATGGCAGTCCTTTCCAGTGCTGATGTGGCATCAATATCGTGATAACGATACATTTTCACTACGGATGTGTATTGGTGAAATTCTGGCGATACAATACGTATTACGAAAAAGGGGAGACGATACAATATATCACGATATATTGCGATACATTCAGTCAGACGATATTGGCGATTTTTTAGACTAAATTTACTATAGGAAAATTCAATAAACAGTCCAAACTGATACTTAACATGTTTAACCATAACAGAGGGATTTACATTTCAATGGTGGAAAAAAAAACATTACACACTGCTGCCAACTAGTGGTCGGCATTTGAATTGCACCACAAGAAAAGAAAATAAACAAATGTTTCCATGTAAATTCTTCCAAAAATAAGATACGCGACTTTTGAATATTGATACATTTTTGCAAGAAAAAAATCACGATATATTGCGATATCGATATTTTCAATACCAGCTTTTGTATATCGGTATAATATCGCTGGGGAAAAATCACGACATTTTGCCATAATCGACATTTTCTTACATCCCTAATTTTCACTTTTATAGTGTCCATGCTTGACAAAGGACATCACAGAGAGGAGGTTAACATATGAACAGAGGATGTACGTATTGGTGCCAGAATCAACCAGAAACCACAAGGTCTTCTTTACCACTGGAACACCAGTGCTAAAAATGTGCCAACAGGCTTTTTTCCCCTTAGATAAATGAGGATTCACACAGCAGCAGTGTTTCTGGGCCACTAGTTAATCACAGCCCTTTGCTCATAAGTAACTTTGACTTTAATACTGTACAGAGAGGTCAGCGTGATGCACTGTAGTGCCTCTAGCTTCTTTCCACGGCCTTGAGCAGAAACTGCATCTGGATGCAGATGGGGTCAATTTCTCTGTCCTCTATCTGTTACACTGTTAATGGGCAAAATGCAAAACTGAGACCTATTCTGTGGTTTGGAGGAAGCTGAGACCTACCCCTGGGAATATTTTCCTTCATACACTTGTGTCTCTTCAGTGTTTGATCTTAGATCCAAGGAAGGATGAAACAAAATGACCTCTGTACCTGACAGTAACTCTAGAAATCCGGTTTGAATTCTGGACGCTGGTTGGAGAATCCGTCCTTATTCGCAGCAGCTGTAAGACTGTACTCTACTGTAATTAACAATTTAGAGCCTTCAGATTTCACTCTATCACCTTCAGTGAGAGTCAGTGTCTAAAATATTAGGAACAGCATTCCTATAATAAATGTTAACATACTCCAGTCTACAAATTTTATCTTCTTTTAAATTTCGCTGTTTATCGCTCTTAGTTTTTCTGGCTTTTCTCTTCAAAAGACACTGAAATTACTTTCAAAGTAAAATTAACAGTAGTAGGTCAGGAGGTAGAGCGGGTTGTAGACGACAGGTAGTAGGATCGCCCCGGCTCCTGGAAGAGAAGTCTGCTGTTGTGTCCTTGGGCAAGACACTTTACCCTCCCTGCCTTCTGGTGGTGGTCTGAGCTAAACTAAAGCAAGATGAAAATTTGTGTATGTTGAGACTTGGATAGGATCAGTGGAGTGGTTAGTGATTTAATCCCAACTACAAAATATTGAATGCCTCTAAGTCCCTTGATCTGTGACTCGGGAATGCTTGTGCAACTAGTAATGAAAGGTCTTTTGAGTGGTAACTGATATTAGAAGAAATAGAATGACCAGGGGAGAACGGTGAGACCAACAAGATCATGTATTGAGAGAACAAAGGAACCACAGGTAACTCTGATACAGGACCTTAATCTGGCCGATATTCGATAGAATAAAACCCAGAGATTGAACAGCAAACTTGCCATACCTGTGTAACCTTGTCTGTGACGTTGTGTGTTCGGTCTTTGACTTTGGGAGCAATGATGGTCTTCTCTGACGACGGAGGGGAGGGGCACTTCTTTTCATTGTTGCTTTCAGAGAAATTGAGGGTAATAAGGGGGATCTTGTTGATGGTGCTATACTTGTTGAGGTTGGAGTCGGAAGTGGAGCCCAGCAGGCTGGATTTGATGTGGCTGAGAGGCCCTGGAAGGAGAATGTGAAAGAGCAAGGTATAATCAGTAAAGGGTAACACGGTTTGTTGAAGGATTGTGAACTATGGACACTGGAGAACAGTCAGGTGTTACTTTGTGATTCTTGTGACATGGATGGTGAAACATGAAGTGAGCCCTTTATTCTGGAAGTGAGTTCAACCACAACAACACAACACTGATAATACAACAGACACTGAAATACTATACAAACATCAGAGAATCCAACCTACTCTGTTAAAGACCTATTCACACTGGATCTTGACCCAGCTACGCCCTCAACAACCTTTTAGAATACCTTATTAATTTCCTCTAATGATTATCTGAATCAGTCTATGACTTGTGGAGTCCCGCTGGGGTTTGTGTTGGGTCCCACTTTATTTCCCCCTGAATTTATACCATTGGGGCAAGTTATTCACCAGTTTAGTGGTGTTTCTTACCACCTTTCTGTCGACGATATTCAGTCGTATTGCTCTAGCTTGGAGAAGGAGCCACATGGGCTATCAATTTTGTTCTATTGCCTGGATGCAGTTGAACATTGGCTCAACGCTTATCATTTAAACATGGCCAAAACTGAGACATTAATTATGGCTCTAAAACATAAGACCTATGCAATCAGAGATGACTTGAATTATCTTGCCTTGCCTTGACTCATTAGTAAAATCAAGGCTGCACGACATGACATTCAGTTCTGAGATGTTCCTATCTGGTCATGTCTGCCTGATGTTTAGGAAACCAAGAAATATTGCAAATTTGCACCTCTTGCTCTCCACATATGACCTTGAAATGTTGATCCATGCATCATTTCCCACTTCGATGCTTGGACTATTATAATAATCTTTGTATGTGTGTTAGAAATAGAAAAATGGTCTTGATGGTGCTAAATGCTGCTGCTCGGCTGATTTCCTAGGCTAATAGGAGATCCCACATCACTCCGATGCTTGCGGCTATGAGTTTGTTACCAGCATGGTTCAAAGTACAATTTACGATTCTGGCCAGACTTGCAAGAATTACATTTAAACTATATTGCAGACCTTTTCATTCCATATAAAGTCTCCCACTCTCTTAGATCTGCAGATCTTCACCAACTGGTCATTCCTCACAATAGATTTAGGAATAAAGGGGGTCGCACTTTCCAAGTCGTAGCTCTGGAATGCACTTCCTTTGTCGCCAAGTTCCTTTCCCCTGGTAAAGGACGTTATTAAGGGACTGAAAACTCGCCTGGCTTTAAGCTAGCCTTTTATCATACTTTTACGGAGGTTGAGTTGTTTAAAAAATGTCTTCTTTGAGGTTTTATTGCCCTTCATTTGATAGTTGTATGTATACTGTTATTCTACCTTGTTTTTCTTTAACTTCTTTGTGTTTTGTGAATTTTATTTCTGTGAGGCGCGCTAGATAAAAAAAATTGAGTTGAGTTGAGTTTGAGGCTAATTTTTTTTTCATAGCAAGGTAAAGAACCAGTGTAAATGGGGTCATAGGCTGTGTCCAAATTCAGGGTCTCCTCCAAATGCGGCAAACAAATGATTCCCTGGTTTGGAAGGACAGATCAGGTGTTTCCTTCCTGACCAAACCTATTGTAAGATTCATTGCAAGCCAAATGAGAGATTTTTCTTCATGTAAAGGCCCATTTTCATATAATGGCTGATGAAGTGGGACAGCATTACTGTTTCAAATGAGAGTAATTAAAATCGTGCCTTACAAAAAGTAAAAGTTTAAATAGTTAATAGACTTTTGCTGTTGGCGTAGTTTTTGACAAATATAAAAAAAAAATAAAAAATCATAAGAAAAATGACCATGAATGAGCTTGTACGGTGGGTGGGTCCTGTAATTTTTCATGCATAGCCACTAAGTTTAGCTTTAATGTCCATTAGGCACCGCCTTAATGCTAAGCGGCAGGATATTCCCTGAGGTAAGGGCAGGAATAAATCTGACCCATGGGCAGCACCTGTTTTTCCCTGCATTTGCTGTATAGTAGCCCGTGAGGTAGTTGGGGTTGCTGCTCTATTTTTGCACGGACTGCAGAGCGTGTTTGTGCGCTTTTGGGGGGGGGGGGGGGGGGTTCAAGAGTTGGGGTTGCCCAGCCGTTGCTTTGCCTAATCTTGCTGTTCCTTTAGCAACCACTAGCTTACGCTTGGTGCCGCCCGTGGCTAGACCATCCAGTTTCACAGCCGCTCACCTCTGTGTCGACCAGGTCCTGAGAAGGATACAGCCCCTGAATTTGGACACAGCCACAATTAAACCATCTCACTCTCTGATGAGGCTCAGACAAAACAAATGTTCTCTCATCTTACTTCCCAACTCTGTCCGTCATTTACCAAACTGACATGGCTCATAATAGCCCTTTGGTTCCATATGAATGCATTCAACTGTGCAACGACATGACATCTCCACACACACACACACACACACACACACACACACACACACACACACACACACACACCCGCGCACACACACACTGACATGTGGCCGAAATGAGCATGATAACAAGTGAAAAAAAGACTTGCTGATTCGGTGGTGTGAGCCAGCAAAGTTGGGTTGCACAGTTTTTATTTCCCCCTCCCTTTTGACCAAGAACATTCCGGTGATTGAGAGTCAAGGACAAAGAAACAGACAGCTGAGGATGAGGGATTGCATGCGCAGCTTCAATACATGCCACAGTCAGGATACATCACAGCAAAGTCGGAAGGAATAACTTAAAGTAAAAATAACGCCGAAGCCATACCCCCAGCCATCCAGGAGCGCGATACTAGCAAACCAGGGGGTGAGAAGAAATAGGAGGTAAAGAGGAAAAGTGGGATTATGGAGGGCTGGATGGATTGTAGGGTCATGGGTATAAACAACATCAGCATAGTGGTTTTATCAGAGAATCTCTGTGGCAGCTCAGGGAATAAATCCTTGGAGAATTGGAGAGGATATGTAGAGATGGAGAGATTACAACAAACACTCTAGTCTGGACAATAAAGCAGAATTTACAGTGCTGACAAAAAGTATTTTTCCCTTTACAAATTTACTCTGTTTCTGCCTTTTGACCAATCATAAAACAAATTTCAATTTCAAAGATGAAAGAAGCAAAAACAGGAGAAATCTGCGAGGCGGTGACTACTTTTCACATCACTGTTGTAGCAGTACATTTAATAACATAGAAATACGGGGGTGCGCATAAAGGCTTTGAATGGAAACACAGTCGAGTTTCTATTCATTTGGTGGATCCGGAGGTTAGAGACAGTAGGAGGCATCAGCATTGATTTTCTCCAACAGAAAACAAGCAGGACAGAAGTCTAAAGTGTGTCTTCATGCAGGCGCGTGCACAGGTCAGTGTGTGCTTCAAACTGAGTCGTCCTGTGGGCAACTGGCCTGGGGGGGTCATCAGCATGGCCGTGCACACTCAGACTGGGTTAATTAGCGGTACGGGGTTTGGCCAGAGAGCTTTCAAACACACTGTCAGTCATCCAACTGGGGAGCGTCTGCATTCAACATACATCTGTGGGAAACTCATGCAAAAAGCAGGCCTTGTGCGTTTCTCCCGTCGGCGTGCGAAAAAACAACAAGGAGAAAAAAAATGCATAAGCTGACAACGCTGCAGGCTGTTGTTGGTTACCTTTAATATTGCGACCATTGTCTGTGGTGGCAGGTGGAGAAAGACAAGGAGGGGGTGGAGGTGAGAAGAAATCTGGTTTTGTATGATAATAAATGAGCACTGGCATTAAGCCCCAGCTACAGCCTCGTGAACAATTCATTACTGCAAAGCAGACTTATTATACTGTCAGCCACCCTGAGTGGTTTGAACGAGGACTGTAGTTAGAGGCAGAAGAAGACAGATTACCCTGGGAGGAACTGAATGAGAGAAAAACACTAATGACAGATTTAACTTCCAGGAGAGATCAATACCACACTGTACAGATAATGAAGTTATTGATTAGAAGATGTAATCCCTACCTATCGGAGCATTGGGATTAAATCATACTTCCACATTGAGCACGAATCTGTGATATTCTGTTTAACTCCTAACATTTAGTCACTATGGTGTCAACATCCACCACTGAAGGGTAAAAGGCTGATTACAATGTTTAGGTCTAACTCTTAGGTAAATACTGCTCAACCTCTGGTGGATTTAAAGAAGCTATTGAAGTCTGCAGTGGATGCACGCTCACAGAATGATAGCTGTTGGACTTAAGCCAATTTAAAGTAGGGATGCACCGATCAGGTTTTTTGCTGCCGATCACCGATACCGATATCAAAGAATGCCGATCACCGATACCGATCAAGTGGATTGGCCAGAAATTTTCTACATTATAATGAGTGCTACAAACTACATAATCTGGGAATAAAGGAAATGTAACCTAATCTAAAATGGTCTGTATTAGGGTTGTCACGGTGTGAAAATTTAACCTCACGGTTATTGTGACCAAAATTACCACGGTTTTCGGTATTATCGCGGTATTTTTTTTAAACGTGCTACATTTTCACTCAATTAAATAAACCCTGTATGTCAGGAAATATTGTCCTCAGTTTGTGTCTAAATTTTGCCTAAAATGTGTTATTTTGTAATTATGTTGTTTATTTGTTTACATTTTTTCCCTTCAGTCTTTAAAACACCTATATTTGCCCATAACTTCTTATTTTATGTCTGTTTGATGTCATCATTTTAAAAATATTAGTTCAGATGATACTCAGTACTCAAGTAGCCTTCTAATCAGATACTTTTTTACCCTTACTTGAGTAATAAACCCTACATCAGGAAAATATCGTCCTCGGTTTGTGTCCTTCCAGTGAGCTTTGCAGATGTGGGAAAATGTCATCAGGCAGTAATCATTGTTAAATTCATAATTATTCTCGGAGAGAGACCAACTCTTATCTGCCCCTGGGAGCCCCGTAATGCATAGCGTCATTTCAACATGGCGGTGTCCGTGACACGGTTTATATGCAGGTAGCGGCGCTGCGGCTGCTTTATATAGCGACTCGTTGCGTTCTCCCTCAACCCAAATCCTCGGATCACGCATTTTAGCTAAAACGCTAACGTTAGCTTGCCTTGCGTTGATTGTAGAGTTGTGGGTGATGGTCACGCAGATGTGTCATGAGATTTGAAGCATTGCTGCCTTTCACAGACACTTGTTCTGCACGTGCTGCAAACAGGATAGCCGTCTTCTATAAACTGTCCCTCGGCATTCTTCAAATATCTAAAAGATTCCCGTACTTCCGACTTTGTCTTCTTTGAGGGATAAAAAATGTCCCCCTGAGCGCTGCCGTCTCCTCCTTTGGCCATTATTTCAGCTTTAGCTTCAAGAAAGTTTTGGTTGTAAACAACAAAGTGCGCATGTGCCGCCGGCAACTTCAGCAGATGATACGGTGGCTGGTAAGGGTCACCGCACCTACACCGCAGCCACGGTAAACCCACCAAGATAATATAGTTTTTTTTAAAAAAACAAGACGGTTATTATTATTGTCAACTTTTTTTTACCGGGGTTTAGCGCTACACTGGTTACCGTGACAACCCTACCTGATCGGTCTGCTTTGATCTATTTTGAAAACTCCGATCAAAACCGATAGGGGCGCTATCGGCCGATTACGATCAAATGCCGATCCATCGGTGCATCCCTAATTTAAAGTGGTTGGTATAGTCTGGTAACAAAAGAAAGCTTAAAAAATGGATACGACTCTCAAAGTGAAAGTTGTTGTAGAGTCGGTTAATCGGCTATTAACTGTTACAGAGCATCAATGCACCCCTATCGTCTGTCAATAGGTAAAGTTAAATATATATATATATATCGACTTGAATTAAATTATCAAACAAATCTTCATTGGGAATTTGTCCATAAATGATTAACTTTGGCATTATCCTGATTTAAAATGGCAGCCAGTGAAATTGACACATTTTAAGCAACATTTAGATGTGTTTATAGCTGCGGGTCATCCTCAACACAGCGATCTTATGATTCAACCCCAAATAACCGAACACAATTCAATGATTTCTCAACTTTGCTTTAGCCCAAGTTAAAGGGGCCATTTCATGGGAAAATCCATGGAAAATCCTCTGTTTTGGAGCTTTTTAACATGTAATATTGCTTTTCTAATGAAAAATACCCCAAATCCATTTTGCCTGCACTCATGCATTTTCTTGTTTCAGCTGCAAATTTAGTATTTTATTTTGAAACGGCCAAGTTGTACGTCACTTCACTTTCCTGCTCTCAACATCAGGCCCTGCTCCTCCCCTGGAAGCTAGTCTCTGGTCTGAAATCTGGCAACAAGTTTCTTGTAGCAGACTTGGTGGTCTACTGATAAGTGTGCTGGTCTTGTGCAGGTTCACATCCTGGTCTCAGCAGTAACTTTTTATTTTTTTTTTAGCTGCACTTGCAAGTAGCGATGCACCGATGTGAAATCTTTGGGCCAATATCCGATATTAAGATCGGTGTTATGGCCGATAACCGATATTTGCCAATGCCAATACACTGGCATTAATGCTTCTAAAATCCACAGATTTTGTATAGACAGAAATTTATTAAAGCTGAATTTACGCATCTGAGATGATTACAATCCCTGTCACATGACTAAACAAATACACATCAGCCCCCCCGCCCTCTGAAACAGATAAACAAATGGAGACAAGATGTAAAAAAACATTAGTTGTTAATATTGGTCCAGTTTTATTTATTGGACCGATACCGATATGTTAAAAAATGACTAACAGAGGCCGATACTGATATTGAAATATTGTTCACCCCTTCTTGCAAGTATGTTTTCAAAACTTTGTTGGTAAACTATATAAAATATAAGAAGTAATATGTATTTAAATTTTTTTGCTTTCTTTGGTTATTTAGCCAGTGTGTGTCCATGTGAGTTGGGGGGAGACGCAGACTGAATCCCCTTCACTCGTTGCCCGTGAGAGCGGGTGGATGAGGGAGTCTTCAGTGTAAGATATTGGGAGGTGTGTGGCGTGAGAGTATCTGAAGAGGATCAGATGCGTGTGTCTTAAGCTCAGTGCGTGAGTTTAGGCAGCCCTGTTAAATGACATTACAGCACAAGTAAGCCTATGTACATTTCTGTGTAGTCATTAAATAATTTTCATGGTTTTCTATGGTACTTTACCCTTTTGACTTCTCCTGATCAGGTCAGTTCAGAGACCACTAGGTTAAATCTTTGTTTACATCATCCTGGAAAAAGCTCAGTCCGTGATAATGTATATGTAGGCAGGTTTAGTTAAATAAAACTGGTCCAATGAACAGTAGAGAAAAATATGCCTACCTTCACTGGCGTGTCTGTCCCTAAAGGCCATCTTGGACTTGGACCCAAAGCCTTCCATGTCATGTACGGAGGAGGCTCTGCGAATACTGCACATACTCTCTCTGGAGGGAGTTGGAGTGAGGCCTGGGATTGATGGAGCTGCAGTGAGTGTGTCCTCTTGGCTCTGGTGTTGGGACTCCTCAGGGTATGTCCGATCCCAGGGGCCTTTGGGCGATGAGTGGTCCAAAGGGCCAGAAATGGGGGTCGAGCAGTGGCTGGGGCCAATAAGAGCACGGGTGTCGTTAGCATAGGTGGGACTACAGCTCTCGCGAGTAGTGGGAAGTTGGTAGTCGTGCGTTGCCACTGAGCCATCGCTGTGGTGAGGAGAGTCCACCAAAACGGCGTCAGGGTCCTCTTGGGGAAGGGACTGCTTGTTGATGCCCAGGAGTGGTAAGGCTGGCAAACGGAAACGAAAGAATCGTCCTTTTCCTGGTGTAGAAGGGAAAAAAAGTACAAATAAGAGATCTAAAATTAATGAAGTACCCCCTAATCCTTCATGTAATGTCAAGAGTTTCAATAAACACCATATTCAATAAGAGAAGACGGGACTACGATTAAAATGCTTTAAAGCAGTGGTGTCCAATCACGTTTTAAGCTTCAGGAGACTTGACGCAATCGTTCCTTCAGCAAGTGCTCAAGCTCTACAGAAACATGGTAATCACCCACCAATTCAAATCAACTGTGTTGACATAGAAACACCTAAAACATGTAGGACGGTTGTCTCAGAGAGTCTGGAAAGCACACCACCGCCCTCAAGTTATCTAAAGCCTCTGCCTCACTGAGCTGAAACATGTGATCACTAATTAGGAAAGGCATTCCTCAGGGAGTTTCTAAAACATTCCCAAACATTCCCAGTAGTTCTCAATTTTTTCAAGAGTCATAGGGCCTTGTTGTCATGCCCTCAAATGTGATCCCACCTGTCTCCAATAATTCTCAGTTGTTTCTCGTTTTAGTTTCTGTAAGTAAGAAAGTAGAAGAAATGTAAGGAAACTTCAGGAAATGCTCACTTAGAAAAAGAATGCTCACTTAAAACTGGACAACAACCCCACAATACTCACCATGACCTAATAGAACATGGTTCGATCACCACAAATTGGAAAACTTTCAGTCACATCAATTTTAAGGCCCTGGTATTCACCAGGTCTTCCCTTCAAGATTCCCTTTGCTTCCTTCTGTGGTAGGATGAACAAATTGGTTCATGGAGATTTGTCCAGGTGGATGACATCCTGCGGGGCGGGGCACGCTGCCTTCATAAGAGGCAGATACCTGCTGCTCACACACAGCTCTTCGATTCCAATCCCCAGCACCAAGCGTGTTTGAGGTGGCGATATGCCGGGTGCGACCGTAAGTAAAACCCAGTTTACCGTCTCATTAGTATTTCCTCTCTGTGACAGCCTATATGGTTTATCTGTAGTGAGTGCTGGTTGGAAGCTGACACTTATACAGCTCCAAGCTTACCAGCCAGAGCAGGTGCGTAACCAGCGTGGCCTCTCCCTTTTTGGACGTTGTTCTCCTCCCCAGCTCTGCAGAGGTAAGCCAGTAGTTTTGGGTAATGGGGTGAGCCAATCCGGGGGCTTTTTACCATCTGTGTGTCTTGCAACGCGGTCAACCTGCAGTGCCGGCTGGGGGTTGTCAGCGTTGGTGGTATGTAGGGCTTCTCAATTAATCAAATTTTAATCACGATAACGATCTGAGTTTTGAACGATTATAAAAACAAAACAAGCCGATTATTTGCTCCTCCCACTTGCGCTGCCCTGAGTTGCAAATGAAGCGCTCCTCCCACAGTGTTGCCAACTTAGCGACTTTGACGCTATTTCTAGCAGCTTTTCAGACCCCCTTCTTGACTTTTTAAATCTTAAAAGTACCTAGCGAACATCTCAGAAACATCTCTGGTAACCATTAGCTACTTTCTGGATAACTGTCGTCGACATTTCCTGCAGGTTAGCTAAACACTCCGCCTGTGCTCCGGACCGTTCTTCAGGACATTAGGAAAGGGAATGATGTAGTGATGTGTCAGTCGCTAAAGAAACGGCTCCCAGAGTCGCCTCTGTTGGATTAACCAGAGTGAGTGACACACACACCGCACCTGCGGACTCCTGAGCCACTAAAAACGGCTAAATGTGCGCGTGCGGCGCGCTAAACACACGTGCAGCTTGCCCGATTGCTGTGAGACCGGGGTGGGGGGTGGGGGGTGCAGCTGTGGTTGGGACAATTATTACATTAACTGATGGACTTGTAAATAAATAGTTTATAAATAAGGTAGAAATAAGTTCCTCACGCTGATAACTAATAACTAATCTCTCTGAGGACACGGTGCTAGTGCACTCTCCTACAGCACCTTGACACAACTCAGTAAATATTATGCAACATTTTGTGAACATCAATTTATTTGCATGTATTTGCTATAAATGCCACTGTATAATTCTTGCTGTCAGTATTTGCAAGATATTGGTATTTGGGTCTGTACTGGTTAGACTTAAATGAGTTAAACCAAGGTCTATAGTCCATGGGTCATAGACTATGAGCTATAAGTATATTGGTCTTTTTATACTGGGAATCAGGAGTTATTTTAGAGATCATCTTGTTTCTTGTTTATTTTTGTCCTGATTGTGCCCTGAGCAATTTTATCACTGAATTAAAACAAATAAAATCAACATAAATTGAAAAATCGTCCTAAATGATCGTGATCTCAATTTCAGTCACCATAATCGTGATGATTATTTTTGCCATAATCGAGCAGCCCTAGTTGTACGCCTCGACGGCTCCGCCACCTGGGCTGTGTTGGGTCCTTCGCTGCTTCACCTTGGCGTTCCTGGATGACTGGATCCAAGCAATGCGCCCCAAGGCTCCACACTGCTGTTTTGTTAACCTTTCCTTTAATACAGTATTTTAGTCCTCTGCTGGGCGGGGCTACGAAGTATTTGGTTGCCAGGGAAACCACTGGATCTCCCACACTGGATACATTTAATGGAGCCAGTTGGGGGATTTATTTAGGTTTCCCTGTTTTTAACATAACTGACCTGTGTAGCGCCTCCTTTTTAATTTAGTACATTTGTATCTGTATGTTTTTAGATGAACTGTTAAACAAAGGCCATTATTGTATTTAAGAACACCAGTCTGTTCCTCTGTGGGTGCACGGACCAACGTCCTTTTGGTTCCCTGGCACCTACCGGCTCTGGGGTGGCACTGTTGCAACATTTTAACTTTACATTCTACTTAGTATGGACCCATTTAGCCACACCTCCTTAGGCACTCTATTCCTCAGCAGCGTGCTTCAATTGCAATCCCGCTACAAACACCCATGAGTGCACAACTTCCTGTGGCTTGCTTTGGACGACCTTTGCTCAGATTGTACCTAGCTATGCATTAGACAACCACACCACACTGGGAGGACAGCTTTATTGTTGGGTTGTAGTCCTTCACTTGAGTCCAGCATGGCCAGTCCCGATTTAAATTCTCAACATCCCAGCCATGCCAACGTGTTTGGCTCCATCCAATGCATCAATAAATAACAGCAACCACTATTAAGAAGTTTTGTTCATTGTTATGGCTGGTGCCGTAACATCATGCTCAAAATGATCATCTACCTTTCATGCTGTAACTGAGTATTTAAAATGCTCCTCAAGACCTTGCCAAGACTCTTCAAAGAGTGTCCATGGTTTTTAAAGAGCCATTCAGCTTGACATGACCCCCGTTGACCTTGTGTTGTGTCTTCATGATGTGTTTTCAACAGAACTTCCATGAGATCTTCAGCGTCCCTGCTCATCCCATGGTACACGGTTGCCTACAGCACTGAAGAGCCTGCCAATGCCGCCATCTAAAAAAAACTCTGATCAAAACAAACGCCTGTTGTGCCTCAGGCTCTAGTTCAATCTTCAATTTCCTTCAATAATTCATAGAGGAGGACATTTGCTGATATTTTATAAGGCAGTGGTGCATTGAGAAGGGTCTACCTTAAAGGATTATGCGCTGCGTTCTAATGAGTGACTGATGGACTCTGGAGAAATGAAAGTGATGGAAATCTAAAAAGAAATGCATTTCAGGAGGAGTGAAGAATATTCCACAAGGGAAACTCACAAATACATATTTAGCTACGTTCTACAATATGGGCAAGCATGTCATGCTTACATAATTATTGCATATGGACAACAAATCGTGTTCTCCGTGTTGTGAATCATTTAGCCACATGAACATATGGTATACATTTTACAGACTGTTTCAGCCCCCAAATACACATGACGACACACTACTGCCACGACTAGGTAATGATTCCTTTCAAGAAAAAAGAAAAAAATGGACACAAAAGTATAGATTTAAGAAGTTTCTACAAGTTATCACCTGGACACCTGTCTGATTGAGCCATTTGCAGCACAATATGATTTAATGTGTGTAAAGTCATGGGAAGCTAAGGATGTGTTTCGTAGACCAGATGGAAGTAATCTTAGTCAGCAAAGTGTGTTAAATTTAATGATTTAACAGATGCTATAAAGGCTTGGATTTATATTTTGTATTTAATTCAAAGCAGAATCAAAAGCTTGAGCTCAAATCTGCATGATACTGATGAATAAACAAGTACTTCAAAGCTGCTTTCTGGAGTTTCCCCTTTCAGAAACTATGTATGATTTGTCAGACATCCGTAAAAGTGATTATCTCATCATGTACTGTGATAAAACGTAAATGTTACATCTTTTTATGCTACGCACGCCCCCTGCCCCGCAGAGCTCCGTGCAATAGGAAACCGAGCGCCGACCAGAACTAACCAATGGCGCTAAGCTTGGTTTATGCTTGACGCGTCCGCGAGGTCCGCACGGCTCCGCGCTGCAAAATTGCGTCATTTTAACAACCACGCCCCTCCACCGCGCCTCCGCACGGCCCAAACTTTCTGCACCGCGCACCTAGGAAATTTTCTAACCACGCGGACGGAAGGACGTGGAAAAACATGGCGGACCGGCAAGAACTAGTATGGCAGAGGTTGGTAAATACAGACATTTGTATGATTCAGCTCTCAGAGATCACCGTGATCAACATGTTGTTAATAATTCTTGGAGAGAAGTAGCTCGCACTGTCGGAAAAGACAAAGACGGTGTTAAAAAATGCTGGAATGCCATGTTGTAAACAGTAATTTCTACTTCTACTATGGTGTAGTGTTGGATGCATGCCGTAGAGCTCCATGCTGCCCCCTACAGTTTGGGAGAATATTGGCTCACCGCAGAGACAAGCCGCATGAACCATAAACGCTGCGAGTTGTGAAGCGCGTTCCATCCGCGAGCCGCATCACCAAGCCGAAAGTAAATGCGTCAAGCATAAACCAAGCTATAGACTACCGCTTACTTGCCTCAAATATAAGGAGTACCTCGGCTGATGCAGAGTTGATGAACTTTTTACGGACAAGTAAGTCTCTAAAATGTAAATATATGAGAACACAGCAT